AGTGTGTGTGTGTGTGTGTGTGTGTGTGTGTGTGTGTGTGTGTGTGTGTGTTTGTGCCCAAATTGAGAGCAATATGATTTGACTTGAAGATGTTTCTCAGAGTTTTGCAACGGTTTCCACCTCCGTTTCGTTTCTCCATGATGTTTCACTGAACTTCCTGAACTTGAGAGAAGCACCTGAGTGGGCATTGAGACGGTCAAGTTCATGTGCAAGACCCTTTTATTATCGTTTTTTTGGAAATCATTTTAAACTTGAAGGGAAAGTAATAAGAAATTATCAGTAAAATGAAATGAAATGCCGCGGTGAACCGCTGCCAAATGATTAATTTGATCCAAACAATTTCTATGGCTTATATGTTAAAAGATAGTTTTATTCTTATTTCTTAGTTTCTCTTTTTTTGACCTGACTTGGGAAGTTGACCGTGGGTAAACCACGCAATCTACACTCTTGTCATTTTAATTTAATTTAACGCGTATATGGAATACTTAATTTCACTTATTGCGAAACGAGAGAAAACGCCTGCGAACACGCCATGTGTCGTGATGTTCGCTTAATTTGCACCAAACTTCGGTTTCTCCTAAACAGAAGAGAGAAGTCCTATTGGCAATACCAAATTTAGTAAAAAAGAAAGATAATGTTTGGAACTGTGATCGATATATTTTAACAGATATTCTGACATATGGAAATTCGACCATTGAACTTAATCTTTTAGTGCTTCGTACTTTGTAAAGCGAAGAAAGAAGGATATCAAGTGTTTACGTTTGTTTTTCTTTTTTTTAATAACGAGGCAAAGGTATATTTATATTTTCAATTGGTATGCTAATCCACGCCATTACAGGATGTTTTATATCCCTAAAGTGAACATTTGTCCTTGCAAATTCAAATATCCATTAGCTCACACTACTAGTAGTTGATTAAACAGACAAATTTCATAATTATTTTGTCTTGTAAAAACAATGGATTCAGAAAAGAAACGACCATTTAGACAACAAGCTGTCTCTTGTCTCAGTGTCTGTCTTGTCATTCGGCCGTTCTAAGCTAGATATTTTTTCCAGTCAAAATCAATTTTAGAGAGCACGGAATACAGCGTGCTAACATATTACATCGTTTTTCCTACTTTTCAAAAATCCGGCCTTGCATTGGTTGCGAAATATCTTGTTTGTCCGTATAATGGTCCTGTAATTTTATCTGTGATATAAATATATGGACGGCTGGAGAGAAAATTAATAAAAATAATAATAAAACAGGGGCGAGATCAATTTGGTGTTATTAGTAACCCGCGTAAAAGCGGCATGTTAACAGAGATTCGTTGGGCAATGTAATATTCAATATTGGCAATTTTGAAACGTTTCGGACCGGACAAAAATGTTCGATATTAAAATTAGGCATAAAATTCTTCCAATGTTTACATTTCAGTTGAGAAATATGATCCAAACAGACGGCAGAATTCTAGGTAGCAATATTTTTCTTAAACAATTCTCGCTTCTATTCATTTGTTAAACTCTAAGCTACTTTACAACACCACCGAACATAAACGTGATGCCAAAAATAGACTCAGTAACAAATGCTAATTCGTACTGCGGAAGAATCAGTAGCATTGACGTAACTAACTAAAAATTCACATTAACAGCGTGCAGGGCTTTGAAAGACAGGCTGCATGTCCTTGAATAAACAGCTATATATTGAGCGAGTTAAAACAAAGCCGGGCATTCAGCAGTTTGTGAGGCAGCTTGAAACCTTTAGCGGGAGACGGGAATAAAAAAAATTAAAAGACACATCTCTTTGTGTTCACATCGAGGTTCGAAAAGAAGATTGGCTACCCAAACTCGTTCACACCACTTAATAAGTTGGGGGACTTGAGTACACTGTGAATTGCCTTAAACTTGAATATGACTGGAAAAGACTTCGTTGGAAATGCTTCTTCTGGAGAAAACGCAACAGCTGAAAGTCCCTTCTTGGATCATTCACCTATTGCACAAGGCTTCAAATGCGCCGCTTACGGCATCGTTGTCGCGTTTTCCATCATCGGCAATTCTTCGGTCATAGCTGCATTCAAACTGAACATCAACAGTAAACTTCGCACAGTCAACAGTATGTTCATTGTGAGTATGGCAGCCGGGGACCTACTGCTTACACTGGGAAGTGCACCGGAGAGAATCACCCGAATCTTGGTCAGTGAACAGTGGATAATTAAAGGAAACTTGGGGATATTTTTGTGCAAAACCACCAACTACCTCGAGAAGCTTTGCATGAACGCTTCAATCATTCATCTTGCCATGGTGGCTATAGATCGGTTTTTAGTTGTGTTTTATCCTCATCGGAAGATTATCACGGTGATAAGGGCTCGCCAAATTATAATCATGGCTTGGCTGGCGTCAGCTGCCTACTGCGTGCCTTTGTTTTACTACGCCAACTTGCTGGAGGAAAATGGAAAACTGCTCTGTAAAACGCGGCGTTTTTTCACCAACTGGCGTATTTGGTATTTGCTGTTCTTGTCACTGCTTGTACTAACATTGCTTCTTGTAGTCGCCTTGTACGCTGCGATAACCATTCGACTTTGTCGAGGTAGAGCACGCAAGACGCGAGCGAGGTTAAACAACCGAGTCCTTAAAATGGTCGCCATGATAGTGTTCGCATTTTACTGTTGCTTTCTTCCTTATTGGATTAGTTGGGTATTTTGCTCGTATTATCATAGCGACGTTATCTGTAACAAGACTTACGTGTTCGTTGCAATTTTTCTCCTGTACGCTAACAGTGCGGTCAATCCCGCCATTTATTCTTTCTTTAATGAGAATTTTAGGGATAGCTTTAGTTACATTTTAAACAAGTTTTGCAGTTGCTCTGCTACTAGTAATCAGTCCGTTTTGGTGGAAACTTACGATGCCACTCCAAAAGGCTTGAATAGCAAAAATCTAACGAAAAACGATGCAAAAATCTTAAGCTGATTACCGGTAACTCAAGAAATCAACTGTGTGCGGACGTGTAAGAACAATGGCAAAGAAAACTGACGAAAATTTCCTTTCGGCGCCAAATCCACATCAAGTACATCTGCAATATTAGGAGTGAGACGCTGAACTAGAAGAGCTG